TGCATCCTTTGTCCTTTTATTATCGCAATACATCCCAACCCACAACTTTTACTATTAATTTACTAAATTATTAAAATTTGATTATTTTGAGAGTATACATCAAGAAAAATCTAAAAAGGGCCCTCATGTTTTTTTGTCTTCTTCTCCATTTAAATTCACATGTTAGTTGGATGAATGGTAAATTACTGCATGATGGTTGAAATTGTAATGCCAGTGTTCAGCAGCATTTTTTCGGTATATAGATCTTGACATTTTGTGTTAATTTGGTACATTATTGCAGGAAACACCTTTGCACTATCTCAGGCTATCACGATCGCACGATTTTTTCAGTTCATTGGTCAAGGTTGTATTTCATTTTGCTTGAACCTTTGTTATTATGTGGTCTTGCTAATTCTTGTATGGATGTATTTGATTTACAATTGTTTGGATTGAGAAATTGGGGGGAAGGGAAGAGAAGAGAAAAGAAGGGATTCATCCTCCCTTCTTTGGATACCTTTTGATAGGAGGGAAGGGAAGAGAAATGGAAGGATTTATATTCTCTCCCTCTTTAATAAACCAAATCCTTCCAATGTTGGAAAGATTTGGAGGGAAAATGTAGCCTTACCTTCTAGAAAGCATAAAAGAACTAAACATTATATTATGATGTTGATTTAATACACTAGACACTAACTCTGCAAGTGTGCAGTAAATTTTTTACAGGATTGATTTGATGACTTGTTTGGCTGGTCCGGTTTTATTTGTTTATTTTTCTGAATGCTTTGTGTTAAAACATAGAATAGAGACTCTCGTGTATTACTTAACAACCAGCAATTTTCAAATGTGCTCGTGTCATTGATAGACTGATGCAAACATATTGATCCGAGTTTATTGAACAGAAATGCAACGATGAGATTAAGCTTAATCACCATGCTTAGGAAGTTGCTTATTCATGCCTAGTATTTGTATTCTATGTTCATCTATAACTCTTGGTGTTTGCCTTAGATTTTTGTTGCTTATTTCCCCTTTGTTTCGTCATTATTATTTAATTTTAATCAAGGACTTCCGGCTTTGTAGGAATGGTGTAATTGCCACTGGGGCTGCAGATAATGCTATACGCTTGTTTATTGAGAATAATGATGGGCTGGTATGCTATTATCTCTTGCTTTCTCTTTACGATCTAGTGACTAATTTGTGATTCTAGGGGTATAGAAACAAGTTATTAATACAATTGAGGCTACAACTTGAACTTGAATTAATGTCTCTCATACCACCTTTCATCATTGTAGAAGTTAATACATTAAAGCAAAGTTCCTTTGATGGTGGTGGCTTTCTCTTGGACTGTTGTTTTGGTAGATTTAGTTCCAGCAATGCCCTTCTAACGCAATTTCTGTAGATACACACGAGAAAACAAGAAGACTGTCATTTCAAGTAGCTTGCTGTCTGCCTGTAAAATTATTTTACATTGATCGATTGGGTTATGGGTAAATTAAATTGATATATTAGACATGCTTTTTTATTGATGAATCCAAACATTGTAACAACTGCTCTCCTGCAACTACGCTTATGAGGGTAGCTTTAGTTGATTTACAAGCCAATATTGTCAGTGACAAGTATTTTGATGATAGAAAGTGGCTGGTGTAGAAAGCAAAAATTGGTCAGAATTCTTTTATCAATCGCCAAGGTGTTTAAATTTTCATTTTCTGAGGAAAATTTATCAGAAAAAATCTTTTAAAAGCACCATTGTGCGAAAAACCTTTTTTTGGTTAAAAAAAACCACCACATTCATTTTTTTTTGCAAGAGGAAACCTGTTTAAATAATTACCCTCTAATTTACTTAATTACTCTCTAATATCCCCTACTTTTTCTAAATATCCTCTAACTCACCTAATTATTTAATAATCAAATTTAATTTATTGAAAAACCATCACCTCCAAAGTCCCAAACCACCAGCCAACCACCGCCTCCCCCATCGGACTTGCCTGCCCAGATCCCCCGGAGGAGCTGAACCGGAAGATTGAGGCCATGGATTGGCGTAAGGATCAACAATTGGATTGGGATTTGGATTAGGGTCCGGGTTTTGAAAAGGGATTGTCATTGTCGGGTATTTCAGAAATGGGGGTTTTGGAAGGAGAGAGAACGAAGATGGAGCGTTTGGAGAGGGAAATGCCATGGGAAGGGAGAGAGAAGGGGGTTTGTGGGCCGTTGGATTTTGAGCTTGGATGGTGATGATTGGCGCCACTTGGAGCATACGGAGCGGAATCAGAGGGCGTCAATTGGGAAATCGAGGCGGGGTAAGATTTCATCGAGGAGTTCGGAGTTCTCTGGGAAGATCAGACCGGCCAGTCTGCCATTGATGCTCTGTTTGGAGAATTGGAGGTGTGAGAAGGAGATGCTGCCAGGGGAGGGGGAAAGGGAAGGGGTGGTTGGGTGGTGGTCGGGATGGTGGTTTATGTTGATGGTGTTTTTTTGTTTTTTTAAAAAATTATAAATTAAATTTAATTATTAAATGGTTAAGTGAGATTTAGAAGGTAATTAGAAGTTAATTAAGTCAATTAGATGGACTAGGTTGTCTTTAACAAAAAAAAATTACATCGAGTTTTCTTATGCCAACAAGCTTTAAAAGGTTTTTTTTTTTTTTTTTCGCAAAATGGTTCTTTTAAAAGATTTTTTTTTACAAAATTTCCTTATTCTACATGAATTTTACTGTTATTAAGAGAGAAAAATTGAATAAGATCTCAAATTGAGCTAATATTGTAAATGAGTTAGAATTTGAGAAATTTTGTTTGCAGATTTTTTGTTCATTTTAATTATTTTCCCAGAAAGGGAATCACATTGTTTTCCAAAGGTTAATTAGGAAGACGAGGACGAGAAATGAGAAGGCATAAAAAAGGGAACAAAGAAACAAAACAGCAACCAATCGTGTGGGGTGACATCAATTAGAGTGGCATGAAAGTGGAAGTGAGAAGAAAGCATGAGAACCTAAGCTTTATTGACCTCATACTGATATAGTGATATTTTTCGATGGATGGAAAACTTACTTTCGTCCTTAATTTTAAAAGTACTTCAGCTGCATTAAATGAAAATTTACCAAACACAAAGATAATGAGGGTCTGACGGTCTGTGTGCTTTGATTAGGTGGTTTTTGTGTCGCCTTTTTTTTTTAACTAATTTGTTTCCGAAGGATTTCATTATCCTTTGCTACTTCTGGCAGAAGCTGGATTGAACTGTGAATTTAATTTATGAACTTTTTCTTTGAGTTTGAGATGGTGAATTGACGTTCACTTGTTCTGTTGGGCATTTTCTCGATTGAACATGAAGATGAAATGTATTTTTGCATTTATTAGGTGATGTTTCAGTGATTAAATTTATCTATATTTTTGAAGCCTAGCATAAAAATTGCACACATTGCAAGCATTCTTTTCAACTGTGTGGTTTACCTTTTAAGTTAACTTGTTTTCTATACTGAGGTGGTGATTTGCTCTGTTCTTGTACTTCTCAGGTACAGTGGCGGATCCAGGATTTGATTAATAGGTGGTCCCATCATCGTCCATCGACCGCATAAAGTATCAAAAAAAAGTCAAAGCTTGTATAATGAACAAAAAAAAAATTACATAAAAAAGTTCATTTCATAAAGTAATGCAAATTCGTATTACAACTAAAAAATTATTAATTTTATTACAATTGCTCTCGACGAGTTTTCATATTTTGATAACGATTTACAATATCATCCATGCTAACATTCAAAAACAAATCTCTTTCTAAATAAGTAATCAAACAATCATTCAACATTTGATCTCCCATGCTATTACGCAATTTATCTTTCACTTGCGTCATTCCGGAAAATACTCTTTCTACACTTGCCGTTGCAACAGGAAGAATCAACACTAACTTCAAAAGTAAGTAGACTCGATCATGAGTTTCAAACTTTCCCGTCTCAACAAGTTTCGTAGAAAGTTCACTTAGACTTTTCAAATTCCAAAATCTCTCATCATTTCGAACATCAACAATAAAATTTTCAAGTGAATGTTCAAAAAATAATAACTCAGAGCTTGAAAATTCATCGGGATAAAATTTGGCAAGTTGAACTAACTATCTTTTGTCAAAAGAATGAAATCGATTTGCAGGATTAAAGCAAGACATACACACAAGTAATTCCTTACTTACCTCGGGAAATCGATTTTCAAGTTCTTGTAATTGAAGATCAATGACACTTAGAAAAACTTCAACTCTAAAATGATGAAGATTAGTCACTTGTGGACCTTTACCTCTATACATTCTTCTCCGAGGAACCACATATTGCCCCTCCATGTTTGGAACCTCAATGCCATATTTAGCCATAAAAGAAGTGACTTTTTCCATATGTGAATCCCATCCTTCATCTCTCAATTTTTGCAAATTAGTCTTGGTTACATCAACCATGACCATTGCATTTACAATATCTTGATCATGTTTTTGCAATGCCACATTCAACGCATTTGTAATTCCAAATATATCAACCATCAAGTGTGCCACAAACACAAAATCAAATGACATCAACAAGTGTGTAATAGATTGTGCTTTATTCGAATCAAGTGTATCAGATACTTCTGCAATGGAATCAAGTGACAAAACTATTGAAGGATATAAATCAAGCACATTCAAAATGGTTTTAAAGTGAGATCCCCAACGAGTATCACAAGGTCTACATAAGCCACGTTCTTGATTCAAACCAGTTCCCGATTCAATTTCACCCAAAGATAATGCTTCTACAACCCCTTGACGTTGTTTTTCTCGAAGAAATTCTTTCCTCTTAGGTGAACCTCCCACAAAGTTCAAGAGAGGTGCAAGTACATCAACAAAAAGCCAATCACAATCTGAGTTTTTCTTAGCAAGTGCAACTTGTGTCAATTGAAGTTGATGAGCAAAGCAATGAACAAAGTATGCTTGAGAACATTCATTCAAAATTAGAGTTTTAAGGCCATTGATTGAACCTTGCATATTACTTGCCCCATCATAACCTTGACCTCGAACTTGAGAGAAAGTTAAAGAGTGTTCCATGAGTAATGACTAATAGCAGCTTTGAGAGTCAAAGAACTAGTATCAGGAACATGCACAATACCAAGAAAACACTCACACACTTCCCCCTTTTTATTAACAAATCTCAAACAAAGTGTCATTTGTTCCTTAACGGAAACATCGGCAGATTCATCAGCAAGAATAGCAAAAAATCCACCATCAAGTTCTTCCAATATTGCTTTAGTTGTTTCTTTAGCACAAGCATTGATTATATCTTTTTGGACACTTGGAGAAGTAAGTTGACAATTACCAGGGGCCATTTTAAAAACAACTTTGGAATACTCAAGATCATGGTTTGAAAGAAGAGTTAATAACGAAAGAAAGTTACCTCTAGACAATGAACTTTCCTTTTCATCATGACCACGAAAAGGCAACCCTTGGAACAATAGCCATTTAATGGTTTCAATTGAAGCTTCTAATCTCTTACGATAGGCACTCATGGTTTTCGCTGTTTGTTTTGATAAAGCGGTGGCAATGCTACTCATTTGATTCATGAAAAAGTTCATAGCAATCACAGCATTATTGTGAGCACTCTTGTGTCCACCAACATGCTTTACAATTGTGTCTCTTCTATTCCAACGTCTGAAACCTCCATTAACAAAAGCATCCACTCCCGCTGTGTTACCATCCTTAAATAGATAGCAAATGAAACAAAAGGCAGCATCTTTCTCAACACTATACTCAAGCCATGTTGGCCAAGTATCAAACCAATTAACATTAAATCGACGTTTTTTCGGCCCAAAAAGTGTTTGAGGAAACGCATGATCTTTAGGTTGACATGGCTTTCTTTGAATGTATGTTCTCCGCACTAAATCCCTATCATCGGGATGAAAATCACACATCCTTCTTCTTTTCCCGGGGTCTTGTGGAAGATTAATAATATCAAGTGCACTTAACCTTCCTTCACCAATTTGAGCACTAGGATCCGAACCACCTTGGGGAAAAGATTGCCCATCTTCATTTTGAGGGAAATTGTGAGATGGGGAAGAATGTTGTTCACTAGCATGATGTAAAGGAGAACTTGGTTCACTTTCTTGAAAGGGTAAATCATTTTGTGGAGGAGGAGTATCATTTTGTGGAGGAGGAGTATCATTTTGTGGAGGAGGAGGATTTAGAGTACGCACTTTTTTAGTAAAAAAACTTGAAATATCTCGAGTTGTTTTTCTTTTCATTCTGAAATTGAAGTTAAATGTTGAATTAGATAAATCATACAAGAAGGTAGGGTTCTCTCAAAGTTAATAAAACTAATAATATTATCAAAAGAACGCTCATTAACCTCAATTTCAATCCATCCTTCAACCCCAAATCTCCAAATTAGCAATCACCATTCTCAATATCTAATAAGCAAGTTGGACAACTATTATCATTTATCAATTAAACAGAAATAATACTATAAAATAATAGGGCTCAAATGGTCAAATATCGGCCACAACTCACATTCACAAATCACAACATTCAACCTCTAATAAAATCATACAGATAATCAAGTGACGATAATCAAGTCATAAGATTCAAGCTCTAATAAAGTCATACAAATAATCAAGCTCTAATAAAATCAAGAAATTTCACCAAAAAAAAAAAAAAACAACTCATACAGTAAATTCGTGAATCGTGATATACATATAATCTGATAATTTTGATAATTAAACATTTAAACTGATGATTTGATATAGAATCTAATCAATTTGCAATGTAATTATGTAAATTAAAAGTTTAAAACTAACCTCAAAACAAAATTGAATTCACGGAGTACGGAATGAAGACCTCACACTCACGCCTGAGCAGAGCCTTGCCGCGGTTGCGGGACGCCGGGACAGACGACTGAAGTTGCTGGCGAGGTCGGCGACGGGGTTGCTGGCCAGTGGTTTTGCTGCGGTTGCGGGCAGTGGACTGAACTAAGTCTCACGATGCTCTGTTCTCAGTCTTCTCACGCTACGCCTCAACGCCGCTAATAGGACGCCGCGACGGTGAGAAGGAGCAAGAAAAACGGCCGGTGAGGCGGTGAACGACGACGGGGTTGCTGGAGTTTGGGGATTTCGATTTAGGTGAGTTTGGGACTTAGGGTTTTAATTTGGGGGAATTGGGGTTCTGACTTATGTTTTCATTCTAAAGCAAAAAAAAAAAAAAATTGTGAGTAATGGGATTTGAACCCACGTCTCATGAGTGGTAGGATGGGAAAAAAACCACTAGGCTGCAAGCTAAATCCTTAATACATAGTGTTTTTTTTTTTTATAAAATAATAGGTGGTCCGCGGACCCACTATGACTACACGTGGGTCCGCCACTGCTCAGGTAGATGGCCCCATGTACAAACTACTATCAAAGAAAGAAAAGGCTCATGAAATGGATGTGAATTTTGTACAATGGAGTCCTACGGTAAGAAACTTTTTTTTTTACTATAAATGGCTAACATGTTAGTACAAATCTGGCAAACTGATTAAGTGGGGTTGGGTTTCCCTATTTTTATGGAGGGGGGGGGAGGGGGAGGTTTGACTGTTGAGGTGGGAACAGATGTTAGGTATAGGTTGAGTACTTGGTGTAACAAACTACAGAACCAAGCAAAAAGATTGAATGAAAGTAATAAAAAAAAATCAAGCTGATGAAAGCAAGGAGACTACTTTTTTCATTCAAAGATCAGAACTTTCTTACAAAGGTGGTAGCTTAAGGCCACTACACTCAAAAGGGTGACTTTAGGTCACTAGTCTCACAATGCCAATACATCCAACAAGCTACTCAGCCCTACCCATCTTCCCCTTTTTATAAATACATAAACAGCCAAAATTACAATCTGACAAAAGCTGCCTAGGATACGCCTAACCCCCCTGCAGCAGTCATTTGCTGTTGTTGTTGCTCACTGACATTTTGCTGCTCCACTACCTCCTCTTCTCCTAATAGCTATCTGTGTCCTTTCTTGCCCTTCCTCGCATATGTAATTATGCCACGTGGCTGAGCCTCTGGGTTCGTTGCACTTTGTTACTGTTTGGGTTAGTATGGCTGTAATGCCCCTGTCACTTTTTATGGCTTGCTAAAGTGAGTAATTTTGTCCCACTTTTCAATTTTCATGGCTTGCTCAAGACAGCTATAAGGTTGATTCTTGTGGAATCATTTATGCTGTTATTAGGGTTTCATCATGTTATAAAGGGAATCATTGGGTGATCATCAAATTGAGCCACATTAAAGAGACTCCTTGTAATCCTCTTGTTATTCCACCATTAGAGGTTAAGAAAAGCTCCCATGTTCCCTACCTTTGGATTAGGTTTTATTGACCGAACCACATAAACCTCGTGTCCTTTTTTGCTTTCCACATGTTGGCCATGGCCTTCAGTCCTAGCCACCGTGTGGTCGTGGGGTGTGTTTTTCTTTTGGAAGCTTGTGTACTGCTCTTTGATGTTTGGGAGGTTTGGGGAAGAGAGGGGGGCGGGGGGGTTAACCAATCAGTAAATTTGTAGACTTTATGCCTCAACATGACGTCTCCTTCGTACTTGTTTCTTTGTAGCTTTAAAAACACATATGCTTCCAACATTGTATGCAAAGGGTTCCAAACTTACAAATTACAGTATGCAATAGCAGATTGGGCAATCCACACCTATCTGATTAGATATGTTAGGAAAATGTCCACTAAAAGCACATTTGAGGTATAACTGGCATGCATTATGAGAGTGCCAATATCTAAGCTGGATGTAAGAGCGTAGCCTTACCTTGGACATTGGGCCATCCCTTTTACCATCTTTGTGATCCTGTATGCTTAATTTCTAAAGTTTGTGGGACCTTCCCATGATCGGTCATGGAAGGGGGATAAGAGTGCAGGTTTCAGATGGTGCGACATCATCATAGTTGATTGGCTGCTGTTATTGCATCCTCTTTGTTAATAATTTTCTTTGGGGTTATGAGACCCCATCTGATGGGCGGGCAATAAAGTATAATTTACATGCCCAATTATTGATATTCTTCGCATGGATTGATGCACTATTGTCATGCAGGAAAAACCGTTGCTTGCCTCAGCAAGCGATGAAGGAACAATTAAGATATGGGAGTGTGCATCTACACCATGATTCTGCTTCTCCAGATCAAGAACCTGTTTTGCCTTGTTTTCTTGTTCTGTGCTCTATCTGTCAAATTGACGTTGCTGCCTTTTCTGTCGTTGCAAGTTGGAGTCGTAGCTAAGCTACATGTATTCCTATGTAAACTCAATTCCAAAGTTAATATAAATATATATACTGTTGATACCAAAAATTGTTGGTGTGTAACAGAACCATTAGGATTTAGGTGAAGATTTGTAAATCTTATCAGGTTCTTTCATTGAGAATTAGTGACGTGCTAAGAAATGTCTTCCTAGTGATTTATTAATGTTGTTTTGTTGGGGATTTATGAGTTTATCTTCATCCGACTTATGAATATTTGTACTGTATGTAATATTGAATAGATCATTTCTAATAAACCAACTAGTGAGTGTCCTTGCAGTTAATATAATTTCTACCAATAGTAAACCAATATACTTTATAAATAAATATTAAAAATTCATTTGAAATTAATGTTGATTGAAATGTTATGCATATATCTCAAAAAAAAAAAAAAATCCTCAAATACATGGTTCAAGTAAAGTTCTAGAAAAATAAAATAAAGAAAATATGCTTTATCTAAGCACACCTTATTGGAAAAAAAAGTAGTGTAAAATTAGATTTAGTTATAACAGCAAAATCCGATCCAATTTATCGTAATCGATTAGTTAACATGTTGGTTAACCGTGATTAGATCGAGCAATATTAGTGTTGCATATGTCTAATGGTACAACCTACCTTCTCTCAAAAAATTGAGAACAGATCATCCAAATAAGAAATAAAATTAGATAATCGATTAGGCAATATAATACTCATGGTTGATGGCAAATGTACTTTGTTACTTGGTATTTGATTCGAAACAAAAATAAAAAGTTCAGTCGAATTAATTAATCCAATCAAATCAGACTAAATTAGAAAAATTGAGACCAAATCAGACTTAAAAAAATTTGAGAACAAGGACATATTAATTAATTCCGTACTTGTAGTTTGAATTCAATAATGAAAACTGTAGTTGGTATTTGACTCGAAACGAAAATAAAAATTTCCCTCCCATTTTACCCGCCAAAACGAAGAACCTTTATATAGAATTAGATAGTAGAAGAACTCAAATCCCCAATCTCAAATATCAGATCTGTTATTTCATCACCAACCTACGATTATGAGCGACGCCGGCGGCGGTGCCGCAGTTCCGACGGGATGCTACAAGTGCGGCCGACCTGGCCACTGGTCTCGCGACTGTCCTTCTAACCCTAACCCTAACCCTAATGTCAATTCAACTTCTTCTTACCCAAAATCCTCCAATAATTTCTCAAAGTTCGGCGATGGTGGTAATGGCAGCAGCAGTAGCTTCCAATTGAAGCCTACTGCTTCTGCTTCGAAGCCGAAGAAAGCGCCTCGAACTCGGCCTAAGCTTACCCCGGAGTTACTGCTTTCTGAGAAAGGTCTTGGGTACATTCTCCGCTATTTTCCTCGTAATTTCAAGTACAGAGGCCGGGGCCATGAGGTAAAATTTGATTCCTTTTTTGTTTTCTGCTAATTGTTTGATTGAATTGAGGATGAATTTGGAAAAATGGTGCATTTGTTCATTTGACAATTAGTTGCACTTTTTTTAGCTTTTGAAAACGCCCTTTTAGTGAAGGGTGGAGATGGTAAATTATTTTAGAATGGTGGTTGTTATGGTGAAAGATCTTGTGAAGAGGTTCGAGCCGGGTTGTGGATTGGGATGTGGGTAGTGAACAGGTTGTAAAATCTACTATTTGATTGGTATGATTCGAAATTAATTCATATATGGCCGTGTGCACGGCTTTCGCAGGCTAATAAAAGTGAACAGAGCTTCAGTAATTGAAATGGCATGGCATTTTTTTTTTTATTTTTTTTTATTTTTGCAAAATAGCCAAGTTTGACATGTACCCATGTCCAAGCCCCAAGCACCCGTGTAAGAAAGTTTCAACATATTTTCAAAAATTGAATATAATGTACAGTCTGAACTTTATAGAAGTCATTTGACTCAATTGAAGTAAAAACTGCTCAAATGAGCCTTCTATTTTTTGTAATTATAATTTACATATGGACTATGCAGTACAAAATAATGGATGAACATGTTATTAACCATTTGATGTATTGTGAATTTGTGATCATTGTTAATTTTATCTACTACAGGTTAATGATCTGAGGAATCTACTTCGTATGTATGCTGAATGGCATGCGCAATTACTTCCATACTTTCCATTTGCTCAGTTCATACACAAGGTAGAGGAAGCTGGATCTTCAAAACGAGTGAAGGTAGATTTTCTTTTCTTACGATTAATTCTTCTAGCATTCTTAAATGTTTGCTATTATCTCTCTATGTAGTTTGACTCTTCTTTTGGCAAGTGTTTTTTTTCTTAATATTATTATTAATACTACTTTTTAAAATATGATCTTAAGTTTCCTCAATTCAAATTCCCAGATTTGTGCTTTTGGTAAACAATAACAGTGCTGATTAAAATGTATTTTGTTTTCATTGCTGTTCCTTATCACTAAGCTGCCTGATCTAGAGTGGTGTTTTGGTGAATGTCACTTGACTATTTGAATATCAATATAATTCTGTGATTTTTCTCTTTGTAATAAACACTTCAAAGGGGATTAGGAGTTCGGACCATTGTTTTCAAATAAGCAAAAGCTGAGTCATTTTTTTTCCTATATTCATATATAGGGAGCATGCATAAGTGATAACACCCTGGCAGTCTCTCTTGCTTCTCTGTTTTGCACTCACTAGAATTTTTTGCCTCTTGGTTGTCATCATTTTAATCTACTTTGTGATTTAAACTATGTTATCATTGTGTAAATGGCAAAATCTCAGGGTACTAGAGTGAATTCTCCTTTTCTTTGTCTACTTTTTGATACTGATCTCTTCGATATGCTGTTCCTAGACATGCATTGCCGAGTTAAAAGAAAGAGTTGCTAATGGAGGGGATCCCACGAAACTGAACGAGACAGTTACTGAAAATGAGATCTCGTATGATAAAGAAGGTATTCTAATTTGCTATGCATATATCCGGAGTAATATACTTGAAATACTTGTCTTATGTGCTTACTTGTCACTGTTTTGAAGATTGAGCTACTGTTAATCTTATTCCTTAATGCTTACAAGGAGAATTATAATTATTATTTATTGGTAGAAAATGTGGACATGTTGAAGAAAACAAATAAGAGGTTCAATGAGGTTATTGTGTGCCAGAAAAGAACAATTTATCATTTTGTATTTAATTTATATGTTGCTATCAGTCATATCAAGTTGGTTTTACAATGGTTTTGAATGGATAAATGACATAATATAAGTCTATAGTCTGGTTTCTGCTCTTATCTTTTGAGAGACGGGAACCCAATATTAGTCAGATCTACTTTAGTTATGATGATCTAAGGTTTAACATTATTTTTCGGTCCATCTTAGGTTCGTCTTTATGCTTTTCAATCTCTGTTTGTCCCATCAACCTGGCTTAGAATTTGAGAGAGCTCCTGAAATGAGCCTTTGCTTATTATTATCTTTTTTACCCACAGACAATGATGACCAATATGGCTTAGAATGAAATTCTGAATAAAGGTATGAACCTTAACATGGTTAGAGTGAGCAGCGGCTCAGTTTATTAAGCAGGAAGACCTGGCCCTACACAAAGCCACCTTGTAGGCCATGGGCCAAGCCTGGGCTGCATTTTCTAAATTTGGCCTGAAATGGTTGTTAACTAATTGAATATTGGGGGGGTGCTCAAGGGATTGAAGCATGAAATTAATTGGCAGCCTTTCTCCAAAATCATGGGCTTTGTTTTCTTTCTGATGTACCTCCAACCCCTAAAATTTTAATAAAAATGATGGGAAGGGATATTATTGTGAGCACTGAGCAGTAGTTTTGTTAACTGGCAGGTTCATGTTCTGCCCATCCGAATATGGTGAAGAAACTGACTGCCTGATTAAAGTTATTGGCCTTTTTAATTGTGATATGAAAGGTCATTATGCTAGGGCCCTATTCTACTTGGCTCTCTTGAAGTCATAACATGGAAGCTGGTATTCTTACAAGATAGTAGGAAGGTTTTTGAACTTTTTTCCTTTTAATACAAGTATGATTGATTGACATGATGAGATTAAGTGTGTCTGGATAGCATTCATAGCAATGTTGGGGGGATGGGAAAGGGAGGAGAGGGGGAAGTGAGAAGTAGATTTGCGTTTCCCTCCAAGTCTTTCCTTTGGAAAACAAAATGGATTCTAAATTCTTTTCATAAGAAAACTAATACTTCACTCTTTCTTCCCCTCCATTCAAATTCTCTAATCCAAACATAGCTGAAGGGGTTGAGGTTACCCTTGTTAGCCAGTCAGTTGAAATTTGGCTATTTTTATTAGCATTTTGCTGTACCATCATATATCTGTTTTAAGTTTTCTTCACAAAAAATCTTTTGATATGTAATGTTAGGGAATATGTAGGAATTTCTTTCCTTAAACAATGAGCTAAGGACCCTTTTGCCATAAAGATGAACTTTGATCACATATTTATATATGTTCTCTAAGCTGTGTATCTGTCTTGGCTGAAGTTTGAACATTGAGGTGCACCTCAAAAGGAAACCCCCTCACTGCTGAAGTAGGACTTGAGTTACAGTTTTTAAGGTTCGAAGAGAAATCAACTCTAAGGCAGCTATATATAACGTTTGAAGTTGAATATTTAACTCATAATCAATCAGTGACATTTGTGTACATCTGCACTTAGAAATTTCTATATGGATTTCAGTTCTTCACATGCTTGTTTCCATCCAATTCTTTCAGATGTCCTAAATGTGAGCGAGCCTACTCACGGCCAAGAGGACTTACCTTTCAATGGAAATGATGCTGATGAGATGCATGACCTGACTTTTAATGGGATGAATGCTGATGAGATGCATGACATGCCTTTCAATGGGAATGATGATGATGACATGCATGTAGACATGCTCAATGAAATATATGACAAGACTGTTGAAGTAAGTTCCAAACCTCTACCAGGGTCTCAGACTCTTGGTTGAGTTTATTTTGTTTGTTTTCTGAAAAGCATAATTCAATGATACCGTTTTTCTTCAGTATAGAAATTGGAAAAGGAAAAGCATTTCTTCTTCTAGACTCGTGATTGACAATTTAGAAAGGAACTGGCTATTTGGCATGATGAACTTGTCAAAATTAGATCTAATGCAAGCAATAGAATGGAATAATTATTGAGGCTCAAGGAAGTTAATTGAGGGATACATTGGAGCCAATAAATTGATAAATTGATCATAAATAGACCTGTGTCAACCTTTTTCTTATTTATTTTGGCCGGAGTGCCTAAATTTTTTTCTTACTGATGCTTGTTTTGCAACAGGAAACATCCATATCTAGGAAATCTAACACCATAAATGCTGATCTGCCACCAAGTGACAGTTCAATCAAACAAAGAGATCAATCATTAGGTGATGGTGGAAATTCCAATCCTATTGAGATTACAGAAGAACAAAAATCACTGATGGAAGCCAAGAGATTGAAGGCTCTTGAAAGAGTTGCTGCTGTGGGTGACAAACCAATGAAGAATTCAGATCAATCATCAGGTGTAGGAGCTGGCAGCTCCAACCCTACTCAGATTACAGAAGATCAAAAATCACTAATGGAAGCCAAGAGACAACAGGCACTTGAGAGAGCTCGTGCTCGCAGTCGGCTGTTGCCAGCTTCTTGACCTTTTTTGGTGCAGTAGACATGCTCTTGGTTTTTCTTACACTTAATCTGCAACAAATAGGACTTTTCTTCTGGGGTAGGAGCAATATCAGCTGTAAATTCTCTGATATGCTTTTGTAAATTTGCTGTTGTGCTTCTGTGCTGAAATTATGTTTGCTTGCTGATAGAATCTATAACATATAGCTTTGTCCGTTCAAAGGTTCCGCAGCTGGCAGGATGTCTGATTGACATTGGGCTATAAGCCTATAAGTGACTGGAATAAAAACCGACGAAAATAGGTTGAATGTTATGTACTATTATGTGAAGCATTCTTAGATATGTCAATTCTTGTTTTATAAAGTGATGCTCTGATCTTCTTTTTCCTCTGCAAAGACTTGTGCTTGTGGATATTATGGAGTTATCAGAGATAAAACTTCTTCTTTTTCCAGAGTACATTGTTTGATTGATACAATAGTGCGAAATTAATCATTACTGCACTCAAGTTTAGGATGGGGAGTGAGTGAGAATTATTGATGATGCATAGATGTTAGCTGTAAATAATTATAGAACATAACTAAATTGGAATTTTTTTTTTTTTGGCAAATTCTAAAAATAAGAAAGGTTTGAAATCATCTAAACTTTTTTTTTTCGGATATGAATATATTTACAGTTCTTGGAGTACATAAAAAAATTAAATATATTTCTTAAAATGGTACGGAGTATAACTTTGTGAATTTAACACAAAATCAAGTGTTATTTTTTTATTTTTTATTTTTTATTATTATTAACATGTTATGATTCTAAAACTTTCTTTTTGTATTTTCTTATATTTGAAAATAGGTTTGAAGAAAAACTTGTCATTTTTTAATAGCGACAGAATGAAAAATCATGATAGTATATGAAACTATGAATGAATTTTTTTTTGTCTTGATTTAGAATTAATTGCTAATTATGTTTCTTCAAAGATAGTGACAAAAAGAGTGATAAAACACCATTGAATTTGGATATCTATTATTAATATACATGAGTCATATATTCTAATGTGCAATCCATTATTGATAGAGTTCGAACAAGTTGTAGAATTAATTATAATCCTAGTGTTTTTTGTCATTGAATCAATGTGCTTGTGACACATATTAAATGTACAAATTGATGTTTTTAGAATTTATATTCTAGCTAAACTTTTTAAAGTTAGGTTTGAAGCTGCATGAACTACTCATATGTCATTATCTTCATTGCCACCAAAGTTTATCAATCACGGTACAAATCTTGTGATAGTCATATAAGAGCTTTACTGCAATATGAGCTAATTACTTGTATAGTAAAATTGTTCGCTTCCATTCAGATCGATGTTAGCCCATTTTTTATTATTTTTATTTTATTTTATTTTTTATATCATAAAAATTAAACTCTTTTTATTCAGTGGACCAAAACACCGTGCATAAATTTATTAGTGCATTATAATTCTTCACTTTGAAATACCAATGCAATAACTAAGAGAAAGAAGAGAGTTTAGGCCTTTAGGGTAGTTGATCAAATTTATAACTACCATGCGAAAACATAAGGTTGAGTCTTACCAAGCACAATCCGAGATATTTATTTCCCTTTGATTAACTTCATCTTACTCTAGAAAACAAAAACTAATACAAGTACAATAAATCCTTATTTTATAGCCTAAAGGCTAAATATAATTAATTAGTTATGAACTGATATGAACAAAGAAAGTAATGGATTTCTACTACTTTGTACAACTAAATAAAAAAATGTAGAGTGCATGTGTATATAATAGTAGTTATGCACACACCTCTTGGCGCACTTTCATTGTTCCTTTTCATTTCTTTTTGAGCATTGTTTCTTCTTTTCCTTGCAAGTTGCAAAATGGTTGGGAAAGAAGGGTGGAAAGGACATAAAAAAAAAAAAGCATGTCAAAAACACAGTGCAAAATAAAAAAAATAAAAAATAAAAAAAAACACACAACACAACACAAAATATAAAAGAAATCACACAAACATAATTTCAATGTTCTACGAGTAATATACCTAATTATAGGGTAGTACTTAGTCTAGTGATAAGAGATATCACTTATGATCTTAAAGTCGTAAAATAAATTATAAATACTTATTTTTTTAGAGCAATTCATATATTGAGTAATGCTTAAAGGGTTCAACTACACTACATTTACAATGATGTCACTACATATTGTCTACACTAACATAATTTTGTTTAGAATTTTAATGGTTTATCATTAAAACGCTACTTGATTTGACATTTTAGTGAAAGGCAAAACGGTTAACCTAATCAGTGACTTTTTCATGTAAATGGCGTGAGAGGTGAGATTTTAGAGACATATTGGTAGTTAACCATAACCCATTAACTTTTAATAAAGTTAAAAATTATTCGCTAAATTAGCGCGCAGTTTGATATGTTAATCAGTGGTTTAGTTTGCTATTGATTGCTAACATGGATGGTACTCCATATTTCAGAAATATTGACATCTTTTAGCATTATTTAGAGAAATCGCTTATTTTTTCAGGCCGAAAATTGTCTTTCTCTTTTCGATGGTACTTCAGATTATGACTTGAATTAGTATACTCGTAATAGATGTTGGTTCAATAACATCGTATACTTGTGAAAGATGCCGGTTCAATCGGATCGTAGCTAAAGGGGAGGAGAGAGAAAAAGGCGAGGGGTGTGAGGCTCCACAATAATTGGCATCAAATGCTGCCTTATTGGGATTCTCACTGTTGCTGAATTCCAAGATCTGCAACAACACACTACAACAAAACCTGGAAAATTAAATTCATAATTTTCTCACACACCAACGCATACATTCACTCTCTCTTTCTCTCTCTTCCCCCACCCACCTTTTTGCCCCCCTTCTTCGCCTTCCCATTGGCAGATACCCTTCTTTCTCCATTCTCTCTCCTCAATTCACAATAAAGCAACACACTTTAAAGTAGTAGCGTTGGTGGTGCTTGGGTTTTTTGTTTTGTTTTGTGGGTATTTTAATTTTTCCAGGAAGATAAAAAAGATATCTCATAAACCCTCTTCAATTAGGGCTCTTACTATTTTCACCCTTTTCAATTTTTCTAGAGGTATCTTCTCTCTCTACTATTGATTCTTTATTAGGGTTTTCTTGTTTCTTTGATTAGTACTTTTTGTTGAGATTTTTTTTTTTTTGGAATTTTCTTGCTTCCCTTTGATTTCTACTTTGAGCTGCTTCTGGGGTTTTCTGGGAATTTGTAAATTTTTACTGGGTTTTGATTATTATCTCTTCTTCTTTCCTAATTTTTGTGGGTTTCTCGTAATTTTTCAGTTTGATTTATTTTTAGCAAGTTACAGCTGTTATTGGTATCTAATTACTAATTAGATTAAGGTAATTAATTTTTGTGCTATAATTAATTTTTTGTTTAGTTAAAGTTTGCTCCTAGTGATTCTAGATGAGGTTATTTGAAGTTTTGAGCTGAATTTTATGTTTTTTTTTTCCTTTGAGTTTCTTTAATTATTTATGTGTTGTTATAGACTTAAAAGTGCTTTTTATGATTTGATTCTGATTTCTAGGTGTAGAGTTCACGCAATGTGAGTATGTGACATTTGAAAGTACGATTCTTTTGCGGGCGTAGTTCTTTGTGAATTTTGTGATTGGAGCCAGTAGAGATGGCAGCAGAGTCTAATACAAGCTTTCATCAGGAAGACGCCATAGCTGCTAGTTTGCATCGACATGCTATATCGTTTCAGTCGGGGGCAGTAAATAGCACGTCGGAGATGATCCCGATTGGTAACTATTATGGGATGAATAATAGTAATGGAAATCTAATGTTTTGCGACAATTCTAGCATCATTAGTAGTAGCAGTCCCACCACAACTCCTGTTGGCAGTTCATCTGGTACTCTTCTTTTGGATTCGGTGCCTGGGCTAAAGCACGATGCTGGCCTCGCTGTTGAGTGGACAGAGGAAGAGCAGTACAAATTGGAAGATGGCCTTGTCAAGTTAGTACTCTATTCTTTAGGCTATGTTTGGTAGTTAAACCTACACTTTCACGTATATATGAAGTATCTTTGTGGATTATGACTCAACTTAAACATATTTGCTATGTTAATATTCCCAAATTTTTAGAAATGTGTAAAGTAAACTGTCAAACTATATTAGTATAATGTCTTCTATCTAGTTGAAAAGAAGTTTCTGTTGCCCTGCTACAGTAATCATTTGCCGTGAAGTATAGAAGTAGAAGATTGCTAGTGAAGACATGCATACCTAACTTCATCTGCGAAGTTTGTCAACATCTTGATTGTCTTTAACAAATCTATGCATGTTTATTACTTCTCAAATGTTCTTTCGGTTAGCCTTATTGTTTTGCTACGTCTATTCCTTGTCAGAATGAGTTTGTTAGGGAAACTTGAATATTAGGGAATAGGGACCATTTCGTCTGGGGGTCCTTAAGAAAAGGAAAGAGAACTCTCATTACTAAATTTTAATCTACGTAGTTGGTTGAGATGTTGTAATGCCTTTTGCTGATTATGCAGCATGTAGCCTTGTACTCATCATAGGAGGTTTTTCTATTCCCTTGCCCTCCCATAGGCATTACAATCTACAAGAGAATCTTTTTTGGGTGCTAGAGGAAATGTGTCTCAGGTATAAAGTGAAGAACTAGGGATCGCGGCATTGTGGGTAGTGTGAGATGAGGTGGGAGTGGAATTGTGAGGGAATTGAAGCATTCACATTGGCCATGATAACTATAAGGGTAGAAGATTCCGAAAATGACTTAATCTTTATTTTGGTGAGGAACCAAATATCTTGAGAGGGAATATGATGCCACTCCTTAACTAACTACATTAGTTAATTTTCTTTTTTAATATCTTTCCTGATTCCCCTTCCTTATCTTTGAACTGTTGTACGTTCCATTACTGACATACGCCCCCTCAATGTGATCTCCAAAGTTATGCCCTCAATATAGTCATTTATGCTATGAGCCTATCATTGCTATTCTATGCCCTTATACTTCCCATTATATCTAAGTTGGCAAAAATTTAGTATTAACCTTACTGCCCTACTTGTAATATGTGATTGTCAGGTATAAGGATGAGCCTAGTATCTTGAAGTACATCAAAATTGCAGCTCTTTTGCGAGACAAAACTGTACGTGATGTTGCTCTCAGATGTCGGTGGATGACGGTAAGCTGTTCAATTTTTGCTTAATTACTATCTTCTCTCCCATCCTTGTAAGTTTACATTATAATGAAATCTACAAGCTTTGTCTACTTTTAGCAATAGATGGTTATCTAATATCAACTTCAATGGGAATATGATTAGGTTGTCACTTAAATATCTGAGCTGAGATTACAGGATTGGTAGTCGATATTCCTGTTTTTTCTTTCCATTTACATATGGTTTATTTTGGAGTGGATAATCGGGGAAGTATAGGGCAATGAAACAATCTTTGTATAGACTTAGTTTCATATATAGCTAATAATCTTCAAGTGAAGATCTTTGTGACATGTAAAGTAAAAATACAAGTAGACCAACCTGCTCTTCTTTTTCCTTGTGATGTTGCCATGATCCCTTATTCATTATGATAGGTTGTTGTACAATAGCTACCACCAGCTCTTTCCACTAGTATTTCATAACGCATTTCTCTACGAAAATTATTGCCGTTACATATCAGGAATATCACTTAAGAAGTCTGCTGAAGTGCTGAAGAAACTTTTCTTTAAAATAAAATGATATTGTAATGGAAACTTTCCCACACAGAAGTCAGTGGCTCCACTTTTTTGCTCCTTAACAGAGCCTAGCAGATTAAGGCTTCTAGTGCCTTAGTTGTATAACAAACTTTCGTTTCTGGCCTTATTTGTTGTAATTATTGATGCAAAACTTCATAGGGCCATGGTGAAATGCAGAAGATCATATCAGAGTTATCCCTTGCCCCAAATGAGAAGATATTGGGGAGTAATTGAAGGGTACCACAATTAAGGTAATCCACTGTTCTGGGTGGATGTGGATGTTTATTATGTGTGATGCGAGGATAAATTCCACACCATATATTCGAAGAATGAGATTTCAGTATCACCTTTGATTTAGTTTGCGAAAGGCAAGTGTCTCATTAGATATGTCTCCAATTTGATGTCATTATTAAGTATAACACTATTTCCAACCATCTTCCCTATTTCACACCTCAGTGGGTAGGGGTTATATTTAAATGATGTTAAATCAGGTGGAAAGTTTTGGGTATTTTTATTTTCCTGATCTCCCCATAAATAATATAATTTGGTCCGACTTAGAACATTGTTGCTAATGCCATTGGGGTTTATCAGATTCTCTGGTAAAGTGGAGCAGTTCATCCTTCTTTCCAGAGGTCCTCAACTCTGTGCTTATTTGTTTCACTAGTGTAACCTTCTCTATATGACACTTTTGTGAGCAGTACATTTTCATTTCTTCTGACGATTATCTTGTTGGGACACTATAGTGTTGAAGGCGTGCCTATTAGTTTGATGCATATGTGCACTAAAATGTGACAGAGGTAGTGACTCACAAGAGTGCCCATAGATTTGTAGTTGTTTGTACGCTACCAAAGATTGATGGAAACCTCTATATCTAAGTTGGTGGACAAATTAGTTTAAAAGTAAATCCAGCTTTAAGATCCCAGATTCCCAGCTACTGCGTTGCTTTAGTGTCAAACAATGATTCTTACCACCTAAAGCTCTTTGTACTTTTAAATGGGATTTATTTGAGCCCCTGTCGCTATAGGCCCATACTGTGTAACCAATTTCAACTGGCACCCCCTTAATTCATTCTCCTTCATTGTGCATGTGATATCTCACTTAGTTTCCCTGATCTCTAGATTCTTCTTTCTTTCTTATCCCCTCCTCTCCATAAACCTGGCTACCACATATAAGAAGCAAAAACATAGGTCACTATTAGGATTCCTCAAAATTAAAGGGTAACCAGAACCCTAATTGTACCCCTGTGGGAAATACATCTACTTGTCAAGTTGTCATTATGAAGATCGTTATTTTATTGTGCTTTCAGCTGATGGAATGCTAAATAGTCTTATATAGTAGTTTTTAGTAGAGTATATCATTTATATAAACTATTTAACTAGATATGCATTTGGTTCTGACAAATAAATTCCTTGCATTTCCACAGAGAAAGCGGAGAAAACAAGAAGAATCACACTTAGGAAGGAAGGGAAATTACAGAAAGGTATGTTTGACGATGTTTGTATGAAGCTGTATGCATTTCCTCCATGGTTTATTCTCTTGTTTGAAGTAGGCTGATAAGTGTTGTGGACATGCGGGTTAACGTCCGTTTGGGTTTTCCAATAAATAAACTTATTAAGTGCACTTCATGCTTTAATGTGAATGTGTTTGTTACTTCCTCTGATCTCTCTCTCTCTCTCTCTCTCTCTCTCTTTTTTAATTTTTTAATTTTTTTTTAATGTTTTATTTTATTTGTATGTTTACTTCTCTATGCTGTTGGTGATTATTTTTCCAAAGCTTGTAAAAACCAATGAAATGCAAGAATGGCTTGCTTATCAAGTAATGCACTACATAGTAGAATTTTCTTTCATACATTTTATCTGCCTCTTAGGAGACAGTATGCTAGTACTGTATAAATCATGCTTGGTGAACTGTGAACATGTTGTAAGGCCACCTATGTATTTCTGTTGCAAGTTTGAAATTTTGTGTTAATGATTGGTTATCTAATGATTTCCTTCGTACTTTCCCAGGATAAATTCGTGGAATCATCTTCAAAGACTAATTTACCATCACCGTCAATATCTAACATGAACATGACTCCATATTCTTTTCAGCCGAATCAGATGGATCATAATCAGCGTGTAAAATGCCAAGGTCTGTCTTTCAACAATTATAAAATCGGACATGATGTGTAACACTTATTTTTTATGAAGCATACTATTTGAAAGAAAGTCTTTCTATGTCCCTGTCAAAAAAAAAAAAAAAGTCTTTCTATGTTTATTATGTTAGAGAAAGTGTCTATGTCTGTTTGCATTGATGTATGTACATATGGCAATTTTCCATCAACTTTATCATCATAGCTTTGCTCCTTGACATGCTTCATATGCTTTTGACATTTCTTTCCAAGTTTAGTGGCTGTCTCCTTGAACCTTGGAAAAAATGTTGTCCATATCTGAAGGAATTTTCTGAAACGTTGATGCCAATACGTATCATATTCTCATGTGCGGGCTTTTGTGCAAATATAGTTTCCATATCTGAAGGACTTTTTCTGCTCAAAACATAGCAAAATTCCAAGTTTTCTGTTATAAATGTGGAGTCTAGAACCAAAGGTAAAATGAGATCTCCGTGTAGATCATATCTAGAAGCCAGTTTGAGGCATTATAAGATTATCTCCTTGATGAAGTTTCACTTTTGGAGCTGTAAAAATAAAACTCAAAATTAATTGACACACTGGTTTAGACAATATATATCCTATGTTCGGTTTAAGTTGTAATTTGATAAAGGTCTTGGTAGTTGGTCAAGTACACACTTGTTTACTATATGCAATTGGCATTTTGCTCCTATTAATCTCTTTTTGGATTTTAATTGTTAACAGTGTTGACCGGGAAAGCTAAGCATCTATTGGAGCAGAATATTCAAGCCTTAAATCATATTAACAGTAATATATCATTGCTGAAGGTGAGCTTCTTCTGACTGGAATAAAAATGTGGAAGGTTTTGTTTTGTTTTGTTTTGTTTTGTTTTTTTTTTTTTTTTTTTTTTTTTTTTTTGTTTATTGTGAACTCAGATTTTACAAACAGATTTATCTGCATCTATCTTGTTTGCTTTGGAAATGTTAAGTACTACCCTTCTGTCCTATATATGTTCTCAACTTTGGCATTAAAAGAAAATACTCCTATGTGAGATATCGAGTTTCCTATTTCAACTTGTCTCAAAATAGTTGTTAAGACCTATTACTCATTTACCAAAGTATTTGAAACTTTTACAAATCTAAAAGTTGACCGGGAGAAAGTAAGCAGAAGGGGTGAAAGATGGTGTATCAAATTACGCTTTCTCTTTCTTGCCTTTTCTTTCTACGATGCTTGACTAGTAACATGGAAGGGAGGGATTCTCAAATTTATGCGGACTCCATTTCTCATTTAACAAGTGGGTTAAACTACCTGTCTAGTTTGTTCTATGTGTTTTATGCCAGGTGAGAAATAATCTGAGTCTTGATTGTTGGATATATTCAAAAGTAACAGCCAGCCATTCTGCTATGCCCAAGAATGTAGGTTTCCAGTTTCCTCCTTCCTCCAGCAACCTAGTTGGGAGCTTTGTTAGAGGCAACTGAATAATAGTACATACAAATAATATGGAGTGATTTGGCCATGAGTCTTATAATTACAACTGAAAATCTCCAAAATTTATTACTCTTCCCCAGAAATGACCCTAATAAGTGCCTCACCTGCAAATTATAAATGTCTACCCTCTGCATCCTTTTTGAAGCTTCATGGTTTCCTATTTCTAAATATCTCAAAATAATTTGCAATTGCCTAGTTTTGTTTGTCCACCCTTGTTCTCTTACTTATTTATCTCTTCACAATTTCTTTTACCCCCCCCCCCACTCCTCCCCCTCTAATAGTAATAACTTAAATTTTTATTTATATTTAACAACTATTCTTGAATTTTGTGCAAAATGAAATATGTAATAATTCTAATGAGGGAGTATGAATTTTCTGATCCTGTAAGGTTTGGGTTCCACTGATTTACTTAACTATTAGTGGTAATTACTATATAACGCCAAATTGCCAACTTCATATTTTTCTCAAGTCTTGCTTTTTGTGTATTTAGCCAAACTGCAATGATATTAAATTATATTAAATTCCTCTTTAGTTGTCAAAGTCCTCAAAGACACTGTAACGGGTACTTGCCACTTCCACTTGGTTGCCACTTTGTAATTTTGTATAATGTTCATGAGATACCTGAGGTGTTTTTGTTGTCTGGAGTGTTGCCATTTGAATCTGAATAACATAATAATTAATGTGGTACACTGGTATCGTACTTTGGTCGGCCTCCTTCATGTGAACACCTCTTTTGGGTTCTTTTAATAGTTGATATAGCTCCTCAATATTGTCCTCTTTTTATTTGGTTGGTAGCTTTTTTTTTTTTGTTTGTTTGTTTGTTTTAAACAAATCTTTGTGTTCAGTTGCAGGATAACATTGATCTCTTTTGTCGTACTAGAGACAACATTAACAATATCAATGCCATCCTGAATGAGTATGTATTGTTCGCCTTTTTTCTTAATCATTAAAGTAAAATTGCCATGTTTCCTTCTGGTTTTGTAATTGCAAACTTTGATCTACTGCAGCATGAAAGAGCTTTCAGGAAAACTTGGCCAGATGCAAGAGCTTCCAATATCTATTGATCAGAATCTTGCAAATAGTATCTTGCCGCGTGACAATTCGGTAGCTTCTCATGTCTTGTCTTATTCTTATTTCAGTCGTTTTGTACGTTTAGATAGTCCCAAGGATTCCTTGGAGTTAGCTATGAAGATTATTTCTGGAGAAATTGATTGAAAAATGAGAAGTAATCTCCATCACATTCATTCTTTGTCCCATGACTCCTGTCTCACTTCATTTCTTTCTTCACCTCTGTACCCCTCCACCTTTTCACCACAATCATTGTTCTCAACTTCTCATCTTGCTGATTATCCCATGCATTATGTGTGAAGGGGAAACCTGTAAATAATTTCGACTTGTATATGCTAAATGGACTCATTCGCTTACCACTCCATTGTCTTACAGTAGTAATGAAGAATGCTGCCATCTAATGCTGATCTCATGCAATCTTCTTTCCTTTCATATTTCACCCTGTAAGGCAAAAATTTAAAATAAAGATGACCTATCATGCCTATGTTTGTATTCTGTGGCGAACATAATTTAAATGCAAACTAACAATTATTTTTCATTGACGTTCCAGTAGACAATGATGTTTGGAATGCATAGAGGATTGCAACCCAAGCTGGAGTCAAGATGTTGATAGAGGATTCGCAGGAGTATTGGGTGAAGATCTGAACTACAAGTACAGAAGCTTTTGCTGTAAATTTAGTTAGGACCTTCTTTATGTTGTGTACGATTCAGTTGCATATATTGGGTCTGTGTGTAGAGAACACAATTTTGAACCTGCCGGTTGACATCAGAAGAAAATGGAATCTGGGCATCACGTCACATCATGAAATTGCAGAGGTTGCCGACTACTTAAGAAGAACACGTGTCTCAGAGCACTGGCCATCCATTCTGTCTCTTGATCTGGAGCTGAACTGTGTATAGGATGATGTCACTGAAAAGTATTAAGTAACGAAAATAACAGGCTAGGGTTGCCATTTACACTTATAACCCTGTTCTTACCCCCAATAGGTCAGTGTGATGGTAGTTGCTAGGTCTCGAACAAGGATGATTCTGTAGCTTTCGTTTGAGCATTTCGCCCTAAGAAGCTCTATTTTAATTTTATTGTGTATTATGGTGGATGAGTAGAACTAATTTCTCCATCTTTGTGCTGCTGCCAAAGACAAGACATTGTTGTAGAAGTTGTACTGATCTGATATTTATTTTTTTTCTACATTGTAATCTAATTTTCTCACTGAATTGGCCGAAAAGTTATCAATTAGCTGTTCAAATGTTGATATTAGAACAATTGTTTTTGCAAGTTTATTTGAACAATTGTGCTATAGAATTAGATTTGTTTGCTTATTTTATTTTACTTTTATTTATTTATTTATTTATTTTTATTTATTTATTTATTTATTTTTAACTCCCCTTGCCTGGTAATCAATTCGAAAGAATTATTTGTTGTCGCCTTGTTGGTTTATTGATTTTTAGTAGTCAACTTTCAAAATCAGATACTTCGTATGTACGACTTTTGATGTCACAACCATAAATTAAAAATTAGCTGTGATAGAATAATTTTTTTGGGATTACAAATTGATTGGCTGAATATATGGAAGAGAAATCAAAATCAACATTCGTGGATGTTTAGCTATTCATTACTAGCGAGAAATTTATAATGTACGAGATATTGGAACTGCTGAGAAGCAAAAGAACTTCCCAGCAGTCCAATATCGTCAAAGATGAGGTTAATAGGAGCTTTCCCCTGCTTCCCAGTACTGATTGCTTACACGACTTCTAGCGCGTCACATTCTAGCTCAACGTGCTCATATCCAAGTTGTTGTGCAAGTAGCAGACCCATTCAGCCATAGCAACCTGACCATCAAACTTCACACTGCTAACAGCCACTGCAATCAGTTGCCCATCATTTCCCGCGCACAGCAGCACCCAGACCAGCACCTTCACCTTTCATCACAGCAGCATCAGTATTGATGCTCACCTTCCTTGCAGGCGGCCTTTGCCATCCCCCTCTAGAAGCCAAAGAGCAAAACCCCGTTCTACAAGAAACAGCATCACTATATTTTCTATAATCACGCATGACCCATCAAACACAAGAAACAGCATCACTATACTTCGTAGTTGTACTGATTACTTAATCATATCCACAATCAAGTATATGTTTGGATTTTAGAGTTCCATTGGCTTCAAAGATTAATATAATAAGTAGGATTAATTAATATTTCTAATTTGAATTTTTATTCAAACAAGATATTTAAGTAAGAGATTTGACTGATTAAAAAAAAAAAAAAAACATAGAAAGAGTAGCTTTCTTATATAATGGTAGTAAGAAGTGTTCTTTTCCTACCCGTACTTGTACAACCTAGATTGATACGAGTAGTAAATAAGTTAGGTGCTCCGTAGAAGCTTTGCAATAGTTTGTGCACGGTGCACCCACAATTTTCCTGCCTTTCCTCCCAAAAAACAGCATATCCTCACTCAACTGATCTTAGCATTGCTGCTTCTTGTCAGACGGGTTTCGATGTTCATGGTATGTACCCTACTAACTAAGAGCCAACTACACTGGTAGAGGATTTAATGAGGCCTACAGCTACATTCAGTAGAGATGATCCCAAACAATAACCTAAATTTCAGACACCCTTCAGCTAAGATATAGCTCCCAAGTAATCTGTTATGCAATAAACTTAAAGAAAAGCAACAGCATTCCTCGGACCAATTGCCAGTGTCATGTTTAAGCTAGCTATTCACAGAGATTACTAGAGAGAGAGAGAGGGTTCGGACAAAATTAACGTCGTGAAAACTAACTTTAATCAACCAAACAACTTTACTTTAGTCACCATATATTCTGATAGCTAACTTCAGAAAAGGGAACTTACATTCTGAATATGAGGCAGAGTAGAGGTGGGCGCAGGCCGGCACGGTGGTGGCCCGGCCCGGCATGAGCCCTCCATAGGCATGGCACGGCACGGTGGCCCAGCAGTGGGCCGTGGGCCATGCCGTGAACAAAATTTTCAGAAATCGGCATGACATGGTCGGTCATTTGGCCCGTGAGCACGGCATGCGGCACGGCCAGGCACGGTCCATTATCCGGCCATAAACGGCTACTTTCTTCCAACGGCCACAAACGGCTATATTAACGGTACTTTCAGCTTCCTAATACCTATAAATACTTCACTTCTTCTTCCATTTTTTTCCACAATTCATCAACTCATCTATTTTCAAATATCTTATTCTCTAATTCATACTCTCTTATAATCTTTACTTCTCAAAAAAAAAAAAATCTCATATAATCTTTAATTCTCTAATTCTCTCAATTATGAATTAAAAAAAAAAATTATAAGTTCGGAAAATTAATTAGCAGAAAGCAATTGAAGCGTCGTTGTAAGATCTAACTCAACGTTTCTTTAATTTATTGTTGTTGTTGTTGTTGTTGTTCTTCTTCTTCTTATTATTATTGTTGTTGTTGTTGTTGTTGTTCTTTTCACTATTATTATTGTTCTTGTTATTATTATTATTATTGTTGTTATTATTATTGTTATTGTTATTATTATTTGTATTATTATTATTTATTATTGTTATTATTATTTGTATTATTATTATTGTTATTATTATTTGTATTATTATTATTGTTATTATTATTAATCATGACATCAAACCCGAACTCTTCTTCCTCCTCTAGGAAAGCCAAGTCAGAACGTACTAGTACTAGTAGTGAATCACCAAATCCAAACACTTCAATGCCCCACCAACATGCCCAATCCGAACACTTCCACCCCCTTCTATCCCCAAACCATGGGAGGATTCGAACAGTTTGGCAATATGTCTCCTTGGACTATGTCTAGTTCGAGATTTCAACAAAACCAATTCTCACCTGATTTATACGGCTCACAACATGAACCTTTTTATCAAAGTACCCAATGTAGCTAAATAAATGTCACCGGGTCAAGTGAACAATCCACCCAAATTCCAAACACATTAGAATCGTGTACCGTAGAGGAACTTGTCAATACCAACCGAAAGAGTAATGTTTGGGGATATTTTCAATTAAGTAAAGATGGAACCAAAGCCAAGTGTAAGACATGTAACAAAATTTACTCGGCCGAAACCAAGGGAAGGACGGGACACCTTAGTAGACATATAAAAAAATGTGGTGGTCCATCTAGTGATCCAACTCAGCCCAAAATTTCTCAATTCCATCCACATGACTTCACTTACAATTATCAGAGAGATAGAGATGAACTTGGGAGAATGTTAGTACATGCCGAACAACCTTTTCTTTTTGCCGAAAATGATCCCTTTAACAATTACATTAACCGAGCACTACAACCCCAACACAAAAAAATCTCTAGAAAAACTGTTTGGCTGCCATGAAATCTTTTCTAGAGTACAAATTGAAGTTATACGATGAATTAAGTAATCTTACTTGTAGAGTTTCTTTGACTGCTGATGCATGGGATAATGGTTACGGATATCTGTGTGTGACTTGTCATTGGTTGGTTACTGATTGGTTATTACAAAAACGCATTATCCATTTTAAAATGCTTGAATACCCCCACACCGGTCTGAATATTGCTCATCATTTAATGCAAGCTATTGATGCATATAATCTTAGGCCCAAAATCATGTCTATGACTTTTGATAATGCAACTTCGATGGAGATGCACTTCATATTAGATGCATTTGTCATGTTCTTAATTTGTGTCTGAAGGATGGAACACGAGCAATTGGTCCATTTTATCATAAAATTAGGAATGTTATTATGTCTATTAACAGTTCTAACATGAGATTTCAGGAATTGAAAGCTTTTTGTAGGAAACAAAGGATAAAGGCTATTAAAATACCAACAGATTGTGCAACTAGGTAGAACTCCACCTATGAAATGTTGAGTAGGGCAATCGAGTACAAGGGTCCATTAAAAATTTTTTATAATAAAAAATTTCCACAATTTGCTTTACTAGATGATGATTGGTCAAATTGTGAAAAATATATGCAGTTTTTACAATTATTATATAGTATGACACGTTGTTTTTCTTCTGTTTATAATCCTTGTGCTCATTCTTTTCTTGGCAATGCATGTTTACTTGCACAACTTTTCGATGAACACTGATTACAATACGATTATAATGGATATCTTCCATCAATGGAGGAAAAATGGCGTAAATATTACACTACTATTCCTATGATTATATTTTTGCTTCTATATTAGATCCAAGGCAAAAGTATGATGGCACATCACTACTAGAAAACACCTTATTTACGACGGAAAAATTCCGTCGGTAAACCTTGTAAATCCGTCGGAAAGGGCTATTTCCGACGGAATGACGGAATTCCGTCGGAACACGTTGTTGGAGATCATTTTGTCGGAAAAATAGCCATTTTCGTCGGAAATTTCGTCGGAAAACACTATTACGACGGAATTCCGATGGAATTTTTTCGTCCGAAGAGGTTTCTCCGGTACCGGAAAGTCCATCGGAAATTTCCGACGGAAATTCCGTCGGAAAATTTAATAGAAAACAATAAAAAAAAGCCCCACCCACCAACCCCACCACCAGCCCACCCCCTGCCACCATAACCCAGAGCCCCACCCACCAGCCCACCCCCACCACCAGCCCACCCCCACCACCAGCCCACCACAACCCAGATCCCCACCCACCACGAAAACCCCGATCTACCCACCCACCTAAACCACATTCCAAAAAAAAACAAATTCAAAATCCAAAATCAAATACAAAATCAGAATTAAAAAAAAAAGAAAAAAAGAAAAATCAGAGAAAAGTAAAAACGAATAAATCCGAAAAAAAAAAATTTAAGAACACGAAATATGAGAAGAAAAAAACGAAAAAAGGCAAAAAAAAATAAAACACGAAAAAAATGAAAAATCAGAAGAAAAAAAAAACCAGAAAAAGGCGGAAAAAAAAATAAAACACGAAAATATAGAAAAATCAGAAGAAAAAAAAAACGAAAAAAGACGAAAAAAAAGTAAAAATGCCGAAAAAAATAAGAGAAAGTGAATAAGAATACTCACCTTGAATTCTATCAAAACCCCTAATTTGGCTTGAATTTGGGTTTTAAAGGTCAAATTCGACCATGAAAACTCTAGATCTAGGGTTTTCATGGTCGAATTTGACATAAAAAACCGTATTTTGTTGGTTCGTGGTTGCGTAGTGGCGGCGGTGGTTCGTGGTTGTGCTGCGCGGTGGTCTATGGAAGGGGAAGGACAAGGGGAAGGGGAAGGAGAAGGAGGAGAGAGAAACGAAGGGGGAGGAGAGAGAAACGAAGGGGAGGGGAAGGAGGAAAGAGGAACGAAGGGGAAGGAGGGGAGAGAAACGAAGGGGAAGGGGAAGGGGAAGGAGGAAAGAGGAACGAAGGGAAAGGAGGAGAGAGAAACGAAGGGGAAGGGAGGAGGAAAAGCAGAGAAGGGGAAGGAGGAGAGAGAAACGAAGGGGAAGGGAGGAGGAAAAGCAGAGAAGGGGAAGGAGGAGAGAGAAACGAAGGGGAAGGGAGGAGGAAAATCACAGAAGGAGAAGAGAGAGAAAGAGGAGAGAAGAGGAGTAAGAAAAATTCTGGTTTTTTTTTTTTTATATATATTATAAAGTTCCGACGTATTTTTTCGTCGGAAATTTTCCGACGGATAAAAAATCCGTCCGAATATTAGGGTTTTCCGAGAGAATATTCCGTAGGAAAACTAACTTTCCGACGGAATATTCCGTCGGAAGCCTTTTATTCCGAGGGAATTAATTTCTGTCGCAATATTTCCGACGGAGTTTCCGTCGTAATGAACCTTTTCCAACAGAATGTTCCGACAGACCCTATTTCCGCCGGAAAGTTCGGATTTTCCAACGGAATATGGGTCCGTCGGAACAATTCCCTCGGAAAACGGCCTATTTCTAGTAGTGCATTTTTATTAATTGATATTTATTTTCAATGCATGAATTTTGAAGATGATGTTAAATCTTATAAAACTAATGTGACCAATCAACTTTTTTTTCCTTATATAGAGTTTAAATCTAAATATGGAACTGTGACCTAATTTGCTTCTTCTCAAACATCCAAAAATGTAAGTAAAAGGGCCAAAGGATTATTTGCACATGCTGCTAACATGATGTCTAAGTTTTCAGGCACTAAATCATCATCTAGGAGAACAAAAAGCGATGTTTCGGAGTTGCAAACGTACTTAAGTTACGACTTCATGAAAGGTATGGATGACGAAGAGAAGTACGGCCTCAACATCCTTGATTGGTGGAAAGCACAAAGCACGAAACATCCAATTTTGGCGGCAATGGCTCGTGATATTTTTGCTATTCAAGTCTCCTCCTTTGCCTCCGAAAGAGCTTTTAGTGCGTCAGGAAAGGTTTTAGACGATAGAAGAACAAGACTAAAACCCGAAACACTTGAAATGTATGTTTGTTTCAAGGATTGGTTGGATGCCAAAACTCGCTGCCAAGATCGTACTTATGCACAAAACGACGACGATGAAGAAACGTCGGGTTCTACTAGTTCTCAATCAATTCAATTGGCCGATGAAGTTGAACAACAAGAAGAAGAAGACGAAGAAGAAGAAGAACAAGAAGAACAATTAGATTATTACATACTATTAATTACCCTCCCCCTCCCCTCACCGTGAAACCCTAGGGCCAACCCCTAAGTCCCCAACCCACCGAAAAACAACCGACCGCCTCCCCTAACCCTCGAAAATGGCCGGTTGGCCCCTATGAACCCCCGAAACCACCCTAGCTAGCCCACTCCCACCCCGACCCCTCCCTCGAAAACAACCCCCCTCCATTTCCCCACCATTGAAACCGCCCTTCCTCCCTTCCCCAACCCTCGAAAATGGTCCCATGGGCGTTTTGGGGGGTGTGGGAAGGAGGGAGCGACACTTAAGGTTTTTTTTCGTTTTCTGGCGAAGGGGGAGGGAAGTGGTTTAGGGGTGGGGGTCGTTTTCTGGGGTTGGGGAAGGGAAGGGGAGCGACACTTAAGGTTTTTTTTTTTTCGATTCTCCAACGAAGGGGGAGGGAAGGAAGGGGAGTGGTTTAAGAGGTGGGGGTGGATCAGCTAGGTGGTTGTGGGAGTAGGGGGAGCCTACTGACCATTTTCAGGGGGTTAAGGAAGGTGGCCGGCCGGATTCCGATGGCCAGGGGTTATGCTTAGGAGTTTCACAATGGGGGAGGTAGGTGGCTAGGAATGGGTTTTTTTAAAAAAAAATTTTAATTAACTTTTTTTATTTTAATTTTGAAGCAATCACATGCTAACACGTGACTTTAAAAAAAACAAAAAAAAATTCCCCTTCAGCAGGTTACCGGTCATTGGGACTACTAGAGGAAAAGTGATAGCAAAGTTGAGATTATTAGATAATAATCCTTAGCTGGGATTAGTAGAAATAAATCAACCATAGTTGAGATTATCAAAGTGAATTTTTCCTATTTTTTAAAAAAAATTTACTACCTACTATTTTCAAAACATTAAAAATTCCCACCAGATTGCCCAAGTCCTCACACATGATGTCATTGTGTCTTCTTCTTCTTGATTTTCATCTTCAATTGCCTTTTTTTCAACAAACTTTAAAATTGGATTGGGGAAAACATTTGGAATATAACATAATTCGAGTTCACACGAAAATAATCAAGTCACTAAACATGTATCAATTATAATTTGTTGTTCTTTCTTTAAGGTTTATCTCAAATTGGGTAATTTTTCAAATTGGTATAATATTTAAATTAAGCATTATTTACATTGATTAACTCTATAGTGAACTAATATATATGCTCAATTTACGATTATAAATCATAATTTAAAAAAATAATTGAATTCAAGAAAACCCCCAAAATACACATGCATTAACCCTAATTCTTCATAACTATAGTATCGATTTTGGTACTAAGTGAAGACATCATACATGAAATTGATGCAAATTAATCCCAATTTTATAAATTAATCATTAAATAATAAAATATTACAGACTCTCAATTTCATTTTAAAACACTAAGTGAAGAACACCATCTTATAATTAGTCCCAATTTCATAAATTAGATACCTAATTTTGTGTTTTAATTATATAATTTAGATTTACAATTAAGAAACCGAAGAACATATGGTAGATAAACGAAAAAATATGTCGGTAGGTCTCACAATGACGCTAAATAAGAGACTTTGGGCAATTTGATGAGAAAATATACAATTGGTGGTTTGTAAACCCGGGTGTACTATGCGCGTGGTACACTCGGATTAAATCGAAGAAATTATAGTATATATAATAATAATTGCATGGTACACCCAAATTAAAACGGAGAGTTTATAGTATATATAGTAATTAGAATAAGTTAGAAATTTCAGAATAGGTCGTGTTCGACAAAACTACTTATCTCCGATTAGTAAACAGTCCTTTGTAGACTTCTTTTAAGATAGGGAAGGTGTTTAAAGTGAAAAGGGGCGCAACTGAGGCTTATCCGATTACCACCCGCTTCTCTCTCTCTAATCGTCTACTTGAGTTGAAGCTATCAGCCATGGCCAGCACCGCACCAAACCTGCATTCTCTCTCCTCGACATTCACCCTTTCTAACCGTTCCTCTAATGTCTCTGCTACTTCTTTCTCTTTCCAAATTCCCAGAAAAACCCCACAATTTTCATGCCTTTCCTCCAAAAAACCAGCATTTCTTCACCCAATTCACCTTACCACTGCTGCTTCTTGTACCCAGAAGGGTTTCAATGCTCTTGGTATGTTCCCTGCTAACTTTGAGTTTTGTTTAATTTTGAATGATTAATAATTTCATTGATTGGTGGTGTTAGTTATTTATTTCATGTTGAATTGTTCTGGGTGGAAATGTTTCATAATTTTTGTAGGATTATTGGTGATGTTTATTCTCCAAATTGGAACATAATTTTCTCTTGAATTGCTGAGTTACAACATACAATTTTTGAATTTTAGAAAAAGCTAGTAAGGCAATGGTGTAGATAGTAGACGGGATTTGATACCCGAGACTTTAACCAATTAAGCTTGTTGGTATCTGCACATTTAAAAGCGTATATGGTGTTAAGGTGAAGAAGAATTGTGTTTGGGTTTTTCTATGTTTGTCTGAAGGTATTCATGTTCAATTTGAATACCCTTGGTTGAGGAAAAGCACACATTTTTAAGTGTACCTTCTATTGTGGAAACCAGTTGTTTGTGGGAAAATATATCTAAAGGGTGGAATTCCTTTCACATATTTGATCACCCAGGAAGTCTTTTTGGCAGAAGAGAGTAAATTAGTGGGAACTGTGATGAATTATTGCACTGAAATTTGGAAGGTTATGAGCTTGCCTAAACAATTACCTGAGTATGACTTATTGTGTTTCCGAATGTAATGGAATATAGTTCCGCGTGGTAGGGTCACTTTGGACCGTTACTATAAGTGGTTTACTAAACGTTTGAAGGAATTCTTGGTTGTGTAAAAGGGTGCATTACTTTAGATACTATAGGAAGGATTTGCATACATGAGAATGCATCCTAGTCAAGATTGTTTGCTATATTAAACCCCTTGATTTGTCATTTCAAAAGTAAGAAGCTGTACCCGTAGATGCTAAAGTTGTATTATAGATTTTGAAGCTTTCGGGTCTAAATTTCAACTGTAGATATCCTTTTGGGCAGGGTACTATTTTAATGTGAATTGAAAATGGCACCTCAATCTTGTGATTGTATAATGTACTCTTTTTGGGCTTTCGGACTGGGTTTTCTTTATTATTGACCTTTTAATGGCCATAGCTAATTTAAAGCTTTTGGTGAGGACATTTACCCGGAGTATCGCTTGATTAGAGTGCAAGATACATTTTATTCACGGTTTACTTTGTGGGAACTGGGTTAGAAACTAGGTAAAGGGTGAGACTGAAGCTTTGCTCTTTTGATGTTTGTATTTTGGTCACATGAGTCATGGAAAGAATTCTATAGAAACTAATTGTGCCTTTTGCTAGTGAAATTTTGAGCTAGCTGTGATGGGCAGATCAACTTCATTGTTATAATGTAAGTGGCTTATCAGTTTGTGTGTTACATTCACCAGCAATGTAATTGACAAATCTGTTGTTTTACTTGTCTACCATGATGATTCTATAGCTTATTTCTACTTATTCTGTGACGTTGAATCTCTGCCGACTTATCCTCGGCAATTGGTGGTATTATGGGTTTGGAGGAATTTAGGACAAAATTTTTCTGTCAATAGATTTATTCCCCCTTTTGGCATTATGTTGTTCATGAGGCTTAGTAGTATTGAAAACATTGGTGTCTTCCTCATAGAGATCCTAGATATTCTTGTCATGACATTAGAAAAGCATTGGTATTACTCAAACTAGCATGAATCATATGCTTAGGTCAAAGACATGTCTAGTAAAAAAGATTAGTTTGTAGTCATTATAACTTATATACTGTTCTACACCGCCATGATTAGTTTGTAAAATCAGTGCTGCACTCTTTCAATCTCTTAGCAGCTTTTACTTTACGGTTTTTAAGAGTTATACCAATTTATTGGAACGTAGTAGGGATTCAGTAAGTGTATCAGCTTATGGTTAAACTGCACCCTTTTTCTTCTAAGTAGTCAAAGCATGCCACATAACAGTAAATTTCTTCTGTTCTTCTCCTCATAGCTTTGAGTGAGTGTGTGTGTGTGTGAGTAAAGGTGTGCACCATACTCTCTCGAAGGATTGTGCTATGTTTAATTTCTTCATTATTACTTGTTTGAGATCCCATGTCATTTCTTGAGGTTAATAAAAATATTCCTGCATTCAATTTGAATACTAAAGGTCTTCTGTAGCTCTCATGCCTAATCTTCTCGACATGCTCAGTGTCTACAGAGTATACTTCAGGTTGATCTTCAGTCGAATTATTACCTTATAGTGCTTCTAACATACTAGGGTGTGTCTGAGCTATGTGTTGGTCTTTCTTCTAGTGCTTAGAAGCAGGCAATCCCATGGTGCTCATGCTCTGGTATGCATTTTAATCTGCCGTCAGATTGATCTAGTGATCAGTGAGAATGCGTAATACCCCTCATATTCTATGATTTTGATGCTTGTAAAGATGATGCTGAGCTAGATGGTGCTGTTAGGAACTGAGCTGTCCTTAAATTACATTCAAGGAATTTCTGGTGCGTCATCATTGTTTTAATTAGGAAATTGAGTGACATCAATTTACTGATTTACTACTTCCTTTCCTGAAAGTTCGACTTTCTGTTTTGGGGTGTTTCAAAATGTTCAACTTACTCTCAGTTTTTGGGGTATTTCAAAAGGTTCAATTTTTACTTTTTTGGGCAACCTCATATTACCACCTTACTTCCCTTACCCCCACAATATTCACACCCTTTACTGTCTTTCTTACTTTACCTTTTTTGTTTTTTACACGCACCCACCTAATACTTCAAACTTTCCTAGTTCGGGAAGAAGGAGTATGTATTATGCCATCTTTTTTCTCCCTCATCTAATATAATTGAGTTGTGTAGTCCAGTATACTACCGTGTTTTTTGATTGTCATGCTTTTACATATTTCTTAATAACATGACATACTTGAAGCTTGTCAAATTAGATTTCAGTGGTGATGTCAATCAGTCTGTTCAAGCAGCTCTTATTGGAAATTTGGGATGTCCATTGTGTAAAATAGAAACCTTTTTTTTTTTTTTTTGGCATTTAATTGTTTAACTATGAGCTAATCTAACAAAATATTACTTCCAGATGCAGTTTCTCCGATGAAGAAGCCTGGCTTTGGCAGGAATCTGATGGTTGCCCAGGCCACCGAAGCAGTTGCACCAGCCACAGAGGAAGCAGCTGCTTCTCAACCCAAAACCTCAAAGAAGAATAAAAAAGTGAAGTATCCTCGGAGAGTACTTGATGTGTATCAGATCCTTCAAGTCCCTATCATTACTGAGGCTGCCATAAAGAACATTGCTGACGAGAACTCACTGATGTTCACTGTTGATGTTCGTGCTGACAAAAAGATGATTAGAGATGCTATCTGCAACTTTTTTGGTGTGAAAGTTCGCAAAATAAACACTTTGATAAGGTAAACTTTTAGATCTTTTACCACCCATTATCCTGTCGTCTAAATCATCCCCTGACTAATTAGGCATTCTATACATGGTTTTCATAGGGTATTGTTACTTGCAAATCGCATTATGATGCCATAATAGCGACTTCTTTTTTTTTTGACTAAATAATAATGACTTTTTGAACAAATGCATTATCACTCATTTTCTTTCAATTGGATTCCCTAAGATCTAGAGTTTTCAGCTTATTCTTAATTTATACATTGTATGTTGTTTTGCAGGCCTGATGGAACAAAGAAAGCATATGTCATGTTAAGTAAAGAGTACAATGCTTCAGATCTCGCGAAGAAGATAGGAATCTTCCCAAGCAGTAGCTAACTTTAAAATTTTGTTAGATGTATAGTTGTGGCCTTCTTTCTCCTTTCTTGACGAGGGCAGCTGTGTTGGAGCCTTGTTTGGAAATAGAATCACTAGTTATTTGCAATTATCAAGTATTCCACTGGTTGCGTTTCAAGTCTCCAGCTGTTGTAAGGTGAATGTGTTTTTGGCCATTGTGTATCAAGCGTGTAACTTCTGTCTGCTGTGCAGTAATATTTCTCTTCAGTTTTACTCATTCTTTGTTTTCTTCTCGAGCAACACTGGTTGGAGTATTCCGTTCTGTATTTTTGTGTTTTGCAAACACTGTTGTATTGGTAAGGTTGAGGCTGGTAAATTACTGTCTTAGTCAGTGGATGAGAGCTGGGTTGAAAAAGTTTATATCAGGTGGTCAAGGTGGAAGCAAACAATGCTTCCTATCATTGTTTTTTGACTGGATGTACTAGTGTACTGCTTTGCAAATGAATTCACCTACTAGCTTTATCTTATGCCTTGCTATTAGTATTTGTTTACACTTCCTTGCCGATTTGACTTTCACAAATTCGCATCAAAGATCACTTGTATAGTCAAGGTTGATATAAGCTCGGTCTAGCTCAAGCTTAAAATTAAATGTAAATGACTACGTTCATGAATCAAGAGCAAGCTAAATGCAAATGACTATGTTCATGAACCAAGAGCAAGTTGTATCCTTGAAATATTTTTGTTAAATGACCTTTGAATGGTAAATGGCCTTTTTCTTTGGTCAAATATCCAAAAATATGTTTAGTAGATGACTTTCTAAGCTAGCTTAAAGTCTGAAAAGATAACTTTTAAACCACAATGAAATAGTTGCTTGGAGTAGCTTTTGGCTTTAGACATTTGGGTCAAACAAATATATTTATATACAAATAATGAGTCAAACAACCATAAACTAGTACAAACATCCGATCAGATTAGCAACAATTGCCCATGAAGCAAGACTTTTAAAAAGCCAATTTTGAACAAGAAATCTTAGAATCATGTAACTACATTCAAGTTCGAGTTATGCCAAACACTACATCTTTGTAATTTTTATCAAAATTTACTTGATCAGATTAAAACTCGAGTCTACTTCACTCTTTTGCCACTCCAATGGTAAGAATTCAACTTGTCCCATCATCATACTTAAAAAACCACATTTGTTTTGAAGTCGAACATTCAAACTCCCATCTTCCAAAACCATGAGCTATTGTCCTTTCCCAAAAAGAAAAACAAATAAAATCCTCTATAAACCATATTTTAAAATCCAACATAATCCCGTTTTCTTCCATTTCATCACATCATTTTCCCTTTGAAAGCCCTAAACACTTCCTCCACTTTCACTTTCTCTCTCCTAAACCCCCCACCACCTTCCGCCGCCATTCTCACAATGTCCGCCGCCATGAACCTCGCCGCCGGCAAACTCCACTCCCCCTTCCTCTCCGGCACCACCACCACCACAACCACCTCCCTCCGCCGCACTCTCCTCCCTCTCCCCCGCACCACCACCCCTTCTTCCTCCGCCATCCGCATGTCCCTCCGCGACGACGGCCCCTCCCTCGCCGTCGTCGGCGTCACCGGCGCCGTCGGCCAAGAATTCCTCTCCGTCCTCTCCGACCGCGACTTCCCTTACCGCTCCCTCAAACTCCTCGCCAGCAAACGCTCCGCCGGCAAAGAGATGACCTTCGAAGGCCGAACATACGTTGTCGAAGAGCTTGATGAAGATAGCTTTGATGGGGTTGACATTGCTCTGTTTAGTGCTGGTGGTTCTATTAGTAAGCAGTTTGGACCTTTGGCTGTTGAAAAGGGTACCATTGTTGTTGATAATAGCTCCGCTTTTCGAATGGTTGATGATGTTCCGCTTGTTATTCCTGAAGTTAATCCTGAAGCTATGGCTCATATTAAGCTTGGTTCTGGAAAGGGTGCTTTGATTGCTAATCCTAATTGTTCTACTATTATTTGTTTAATGGCTGCTACTCCTCTTCATCGCCGTGCCAAGGTTTAGGATTCTTCTATCACTATCTTTTTAATCTGATTGATTTCTTGTAATTCTGTGTTTTATAGTTGATGATCTTTAAAGGGTTTGCATTTCTAGGTAAATGTTGAATTGGGTTTGTTTTGGATTGATTGATTATTGATTGTTAATGGGCAGAAGTTTAAGAAATTTTACAGTAATTGGGGAAAAAGAAAAGAAAAGATGAAATTTTGTTTTGAAGTTGGATTTTAGGATATAATGCTGCTTGAACAAATTGGAATTACGATATATATTGATGGTTCATATACACTGTTGTTTGTGTTCTGTTTTGATGGTATAGTATTGGTTGTTATAAAGGTTTGCAATTTTATTCGATTGTTAGGATGTTATTGGATCGATAACGTCGTGATCTTAGCAAAAATATGCTAATAGTAATAGAACTTTTTATGCAATGTTGATTTGGTAAAGGGGTTGCTAATTTGTAGGGGCCTAAGCAAGTGGTATGCTAATTGCAATAAAACCATTTTTGCAATTTAGGTTTGAGAAAAGTTTGATACTTGGGGAAATATAACATAAGGGCTAGTGTTTAGCAGTAATAATGTAGCAATTTTTATGACAGGTAGCAGCTTTACTTAGTTGTTGAAAAAATTGAGCCTTTGAACCTTGATTAATAAGATACCTATAACTAGTTTCCTACTCGAGTTTCTAATAATGCACATCTGAATCGCTTTTTTTCCTCTCTGCTTTACTTCCGTCAAATCTTATTAATCAATCAATGTTGTGTATTTTGCAGGTTACTCGCATGGTTGTTAGTACATACCAGGCTGCTAGTGGTGCTGGTGCTGCTGCGATGGAAGAGCTTGAGCTGCAAACTCGTGAGGTTTATCATAATTCATATTTCACTGTTTATTAATTTCCATCTGTAGTATATCCATTAGAATTGAAAGCAGTTTTTCTTTTGGCCCATGTATTTATCCAATATTACATTATTCTACGTGAAGGTTTTGGAAGGCAAGCCTCCAACTTGCAACATCTTTAGTCAGCAGGTATATATTTTTCTATGTGGCTTTCTTGATTATGCTTTTTACTCTCTTCTCTTTTCACCATTTGTTGTGCTTCTTATCATTTTCTTTTATGCAGTATGCTTTTAATTTGTTCTCCCACAATGCACCAATTCTTTCAAATGGATACAATGAAGAGGAGATGAAATTAGTAAAGGAAACCAGGAAAATTTGGGTAAGCATATGAAGGGCTTTCTGTTGATTAATTATCTTACCTTAGTGTCGGTTTTTGTTGTTGTGGTTTTGGTTATTGCTCTTCATTGTACTCGGATGTTTTTGAGTATTGTTTTGCCATGAAACATTTTTATAACCTTGCTCTTTTTATTCTGTAGGATGATATTACTGTCAGGGTTACTGCTACATGTATTAGGGTCCCTGTTATGCGTGCACATGCCGAGAGTGTAAACCTTCAATTTGAGAACCCCCTTGACGAGGTACATATTTCATTTTTTTATGATCTGATTGTCACTGACCCACTCTTTTCTATTTCAATTACATATTTTTGCTACTTGCTAGTCTCCATGAGATTTATGAAAAAATCTTCTTGTAATTACAAATGTGCATGTTCAGAGCTGATTTGTTGACGTAACAACTTTGCTATGAAAATACATGCCAAGGAAAATTGATTCTATAACAGCCCCTAATTTGATAAATTACTGTTCACAATACTAATAGGATCTGAGCGCTCTGGCTACAGGAAGAATGTTTGGCCTGCTTGGTGATGCATTGTATTGATATCATCACCTTCCTTTATACAACACCAAATGGATAACACTATCCAGTTTGTGCTGCTTTAGGTTTTTTGAATCCGTGCTAGAATATTTTATTCACCCCTTTGTTCATGATCCTAAGTTTGATTGATGCTAAATGATGAATAAGTTATCACAATATATGGTTGATATATTTTATATATTGATAGAGATGAAGTTATGTTAAAACTAATACCTGTGTAAGAGAGATTTTTTTTTTTTTTTTTTCTGAAATTGATAGAGAGAGAGAGAGAGTTGTTGGCAAAGAACTAATGTTTTGAGTGAGATGATTGCTAGTTTGTTCATAAGTACTTCAATTAATGATTACTGACATGGGCCTCTTGAGGGAATTGTTTTGAAGGAATATGTTTTGGGTGGGTGGTTTAAGTAATCTGCCAAGGTAGATAAAAGGAGCTCGAGGAGGGATATCTTCAGAATTTCAATTAATGACTATTGATGTCAGTTATTCTTAATTTCTTATTCTTACAGTCAGTTGGTTTCGCACCAGACATCTTAGAGTGGAAACCTTTTGGATGACATGAGCCTTAAATTAGTTTGACTTTGCACTGTCAGCCGATTTAGCCTTGGATTTGCTTAGGGAGAGGGAAGGTATGCCAATTAACCCTATCATGTAGAAGCAAGATAAACATATACCATAAAAAAAAACTAATGTAAGAGCACTCTGCATTATAATAGCACCATGTTCCATTTGCATTGGTTAAGCTTTCTGGCACCGCAAGGTTTTACTACTGGTTAACCATTGTGTTCTTATATCTGGGATTATGAAACTAGTATGTTTGTGGGCATGCTCATCATTCTCTCGCTAGGATATTGCCCTAAGTTATTGGTTACTTGTTCTCTTACAAAGATGATGTGCTAATAGCTTGTGTGTGGCAGCACTATTGTTCCTGGTCTCCCTCTAGAACTTAACTGGTGCATTTTCACCATTGTACTGTGATATTAAATATTAGATTCAGCACGTTTGGATGCTAGAGTTCCGACTACCTCCCTGACTTAGTCCAAGCATGCTGTGCATATTTGTAGATGATAAACGATTTAACACAACTGTGTACAAATTAATATTTTATGAAACAAAAAGTGTATACTCCTATTATTCTTGTTTTGGACATCTACAATGATCTTTATTTGTCTTTTTTTATTTTATTTGTATTATTGTATGAAACCTCTGATTGATCTACTCCTTCACTGAATATTTTTTAGGACACAGCAAGAGAGATTTTAGAGAGTGCTCCTGGTGTGGTGGTAATAGATGATCGTGCATCAAATCACTTTCCCACTCCCTTGGAAGTTTCCAACAAGGACGCTGTTGCTGTTGGCAGGATAAGGCGTGATGTCTCTCTAGATGGAGATAATGGGTACGAGCCTCTCTTATTAATCTACCCTTGGCCTTCTACTTGTCATTTTTAATTTAGTAAGAGACTAAGAGTGGTGATTTTTGCAGGTTGGACATTTTTGTATGTGGTGACCAAATACGCAAGGGAGCAGCACTTAATGCTGTCCAGATTGCTGAGATGCTGTTATAGACTTGTAGATTTGTTTCTAATTCCTGATTTTGTATTTTTTTTTCTTTGTGCTGGGGTATATTTGGTTACTAACAGCCGGCTTGATGCCCCCAATTTTCTGAGAAAATTTTGCAATTAGAAACCTTTATCATGCTGATCTTTATGATTGGATTACTTGGCTTACTGAGGTGAAATAAGGCGTTTCTTGTCCTGTATCTATTCTTTTTTACCCCAAATATCAGGTAACATCACATACCGGGAATTGGTTTCCCAAATTCTGGTATGTTGAAATCCATTCTCTCTGTGAACATGTGTTTGGATAAGTGAATTTGAAGAGAAAGGGATTGAGGAAAGATGAAAGCTTTGACATTCACTGGGGTAGAAGATAAATAAAAATATCTTTCGTATGTCTGGAATTGATAGTTATTGTATATTTGTATCTGTATTCAGCCTACTATTCATTTTAATAGGATTTTTGGAAAAAGTTGTCCTTTCCTAAAAAATAGTAACGATTCGTGATTCAACTTTGTAACGCATTGTTACTTAAATTATGTTGTAATATTACAAATTTACAAGTGTCACAACTATTTTGTCTTTTGTAATATCACGTCATATCTTTAGGATTACCGACTATTAGAGGTTGGGATTATGTGTTACTCCGTAGCTATTTTGTAATATTATGTCATATTATTAAGATGTCGACTATTAGAGGTTGAGATTATTTGTCAGCTAATAACCAATGGATTATGTGTGTTATTCTAGCATCCTACCTGAAGCTCAAGTTACTCTTCATTACCTGCTACTATATCTTTCTGTCAGAAGCTACAAACTTATTCTTTGCTTTAGTCAAGAATATTCTATATGAGAAACATAAATGAATTAATGCACGCACAAGCGAGGTATAGATTATTACGGGGGTAACCTGTTCTCCCTAATTGGTACTATGATTTATACTTGTTAATTAAGAGCTCATCGATGTATAAATAAATTCATTCGCTTCGTTCTACCTGCTCATCTATTTCACATCTCTATCACCAAAATATAATCCAACAGTTAAACATGGGAGCTGAACAATCTACTGCAATCGAGCAAAGGATAGCCGAGATTGAGAGACAGATTTCTTGTATTAAGATCGAGACATCTTTCACAAATGCCAGTTTGGATGCCTCGAAGAGGGAAGCAGAGGAACTCAAAGAACAGCTTTCGACATGTGAAAAAGTTCAGAAAGACGTGGAAATGAAATTGCACAAGGTATGTGATCAACTCTCTTTTACTGTGTCTGAATTAAAATCTAACAAGGCTGACTTAGAAATGTCTAAGAAAGAATTCAACGAGCTCCAAGATCAACTTTCCGTTTATAACAATCAAAGCCAAAACATAGAAGTGGAATTGCGAAAAGTACAGGATCAACTTTCTTCAACGACTTCTGAGTTGCAGTCTGCAACAAATCAATTAGAGATTTCGAAGAAGAAAGTAGCAGAGCTCGAGGAAGGAATTAGCAGTTGTAAGAAGGAAAATGAAGCTGTGGAAACAAAGTATCAAAATGTTCAGGTTCAGATTACGGAATTTGAATCAGAGTTACAGTCTACTAAGAATGAACTGAAATCCTCGAATGAAAAGGTAGAACAACTCGAGATTCAGATTTACTCTTGTAAGAAAGAAAACGAGGACATGGTTAATGATATACGTAGGATACAAGATGAAATTAATTGTATGAAAACCGAGTTAGACTCAACTAGAAGTGAACTAGAATCCTCAGCTCGAAAGGTAATAGAGCTTGAGGATCAAGTTTTTACCAATAAAAACGACAGTAGAGATGCAGAAGAAGAGTTCCGAAAGGTACAAGAGCAACTCTCTGCAACCAACAATGAGCTGCAAGCCACCAAGATGTTGTTGGAATCGTCTGAAAACGATGTGCAGGAGCTGAAGCATCAGTATAACACTTGCAAGACAAAACTCGAACATATGGAAGAAGAACTGAAGGAAGTATATGGTTATCTTTGTTTGAAGGGAGATGACTTTGACACCTCGAGTTGGGTTCTCCCTAAGACTGATGATACCGCTCACGTTGTTATAAACAACAAGACGATGTCTATAACAATTGATCATGAAGAAGTTCGACTTGATGATTAATTATCACTTGAAATGGGTGTTCATAGTTGTTTAATTGCTCATAAAAACTTTGATTATGAACCCTTTTTATTTTAAATTTACACAATGATCTTTCTTTTTAGTGAATAACTTTGAAGCAAAATCAAATGAATAAAAGATGCAGCTGTATACTGCATCAATATATCTTATACAAGTATAATACAGAAGCATCTTTATTTTTTATTTTTTTGAATAGTAAAAAAAAAATTCATTACTAAAAAGTCATACGACATCTACAAAAGATGTTTTTTTAGCAATTTCAGAAACATCTGTATGTAATATACTCTCTTTTATACGTAATATGATAAAATGCCATAACAATAGCTTGTAGTAAACCATGTATAAACGGATAAACCGTCTGGTGAAGTTACACTTACAAGGGGAGGAGGGAGTAGAAGTATGATACAAAAAAAATTACAGCTTTCGTGTTCCTAAAACACTTGTTGTGCGACAGCGGAAGCAAAGATCGAAAACAATAAAGAAAACAACAAAGAAATTCAATGCAAACAATAAGAACAACACCAAGAATTAACGCGGTTCACTATCAATGTGATAGCTAAGTCCACGGGCACCGAGATCAAAGATTTCACTATAAACTGCAAAGAATTACAAAGATGAATCAAGTCTTTCTCAAGAATGGCTCTCTCTCTGTCTCTCGTAACCCTAGCACTAATATCAGGAAGTTTTTATAATAATCCCTAATTACAAGATACTTGGACTACAAGATAAAATAATAAGATAACTCTAAAAAATCGCAAAATCCGCATCTCTATCGTAGCCTTCTTCCGCCCGGTCGGGCGCACGAAGCAACATCCAATACGAGACATTTTGCACTACCTAACCTCACCGCCTTGTCTGCTAGGGCATGGCCGCCCGTGCCAGGGCATGGCATGCCCGATCTGGCAGTGGGGATTGCAAGATACATTGCACACATATCCTCTTTGCCCGGTCTGCCAGGGCATTAGCCTGGTCGGGCAGAGGAAAGCTGCAAGATTCGAGTCATCTAATCATCAACAATCTCCACCTTGACGAGAACTCGTAGTCAGCAAAACGATCCCATCAACACATAGTGAAAAAACATCTTAAGCCTAACCCGATGCAAAGCTCATGCATAAGATATACATCCCGATAAGTCTCCAACCAAGACTCGTCCCGATAAGCCTCCAACCAAGACCCATTACATACTCGTCTCCAAGTATAACAACTCATAATGCTCCACCTGCATCACAAGCCCCGGGCAAGCTCCACCTTAAGGCCAACATGCATACACCAGGAGCTCCCCAACACCGCCCCTAAGGGCCTATTACATCACATAGTAATCGATATTTAGCAAGTGCAAACAATGTTTAAACTTACTAAATGGAACAGGCTTAGTGAAGAAATCAGACGGGTTGTCAGCAGTCCCAATCTTCTTCACCTTAATCATCTTGTCAGTACGTAAGAAATGATAGCTGACATCAATGTGCTTGGTCCGATCATGCTGTACTTGATCTCTAGCTAAGAAAATGGCACTTAGAATATCAAAATACACCGTAGCAAAATCCTGTGCAATACCCAGTTCACCTACAAGGCCTTTGAACCAAATAGACTCTTGAGCTGTAGAAGTTAAAGCCATGTACTCAGCTTCAGTAGTAGACAACGTAACCGAAGACTTCAATGTAGACTTCCAACTAACCACAGAACCACCTAAAGGAAACACATACCCTGTCACGGACCTCCTGGTATCCACATCAGCTGCATAATCATAATCACTATACCCAGTCACCAAGCACTCCTTACCATTCCTATACACAAGACCAATATCAGCAGTCCCTCTCAAATAGCGAAAAATCCTTTTCACCCCCTGCCAGTGTTCCCTCCCAAGTCGAGCCATAAACCTGCTTACAACACTAACAACATGCACAATATCCGGCCTAGTGTAGACCATAGCATACATCAAACAACCAACCGCATTGGCATATGGAACTCTAGACATATAAGATAACTCCTCCTCTGTTTGAGGTGACACAGACAAAGACAACTTACAGCTAACAGTAGTTGGCGTACTTATAGGCTTTGATTTTTCCATCCCAAAACGAGAAAAAATCTTTTCAATGTAGCTTTTCTGAGTCAAAATCTTCCTAGATGCACCTAAGTCTTTCATGTCAAACTCCGAGTTAAGCATCTCCTTCAATCTAGCAATATCAGATTTATTCTTTGTGGCAACCAGCATATCATCAACATATAACAAAAGATAAATCATGGAGCCATCATCCAGGTTACTATGATACACACATCAATCATATAAATTCCTATCAAACCCATGCGAAACCATAAAAGAATCAAACCTCTTGTACCACTGTCGGGGGGATTGCTTAAGTCCATACAATGACTTTAGCAATCTGTAGGCATAGTGTTCCTTTCCAGGAACCTCGAATCCCTCGGGCTGCTTCATCAGAATCTCCTCCTCCAAATCTCCACGGAGGAAAGCCGTTTTAACATCCAGCTGCTCTAGCTCAAAATCGAAGTGTGCTACAATTGACAATAACACACGGATAGAAGTGTGTCGAACCACAGGTGAGAATATCTCCACAAAGTCAAACCCTTCTACATGACTGAACCCCTTAGCAACTAGTCTAGCCTTAAAATGCACTTGCTCAGTTTCTGATAACCCTTCTTTCTTCTTGTAAATCCACTTACACCCCACAAGCTTCCTCCCTTTCGGTACCTTTACCAGTTCCCACACTCTGTTCTTGTAAAGAGACTGCATCTCTTCACCCGTTGCAGCAAGCTATTGCGCCGACTCACTACAACTAATTGCTTGTTTATATGTGGCAGGTTCAAATGACTCTACATCATCAACTACACTCAATGCATAACATGTCAACTCATCAACACAACAAGTCCTTCCCTCCATCTCTTCAGTCAATCTAACAGGCTTCTTGATAACTCGTTTAGGCATCTCAAGGATGGTGTCAGGTTGACTAGATGACCCCTGATTAGATTGCTCCACCTCCTCCCTAGAGTTAGAAT